TGGATTCACATCAATACACTTTTCAATATTCTTCTTAAAGTTAATCCCACATTGCCGCAACATCTCCACTGAATCACTTGCAAACCACAAGTAGGTAAATTTCCACTGTCATCCGAAAACGTTAGTCCCGATCAAATGACTTTCTACATAACTTTCAATGTTTGGTACTTATAATCACTTATATTTATATTTTTGAAACTCCCAGACAAACGCAAAAAAACACTAGCAAACTCGGTACCCATGGCTACATAATCCTACTTATCAACAATTTCATGAATTTAATCAAAAACCTCTTCGAGATTATCATTCAGCACCTCTCAAACGCGAATCAAATCGCCCTTTGGGAAAATTAATATTTCCAAAACAAAAAATCCAGATCTAAACAAAAAAATTTCATACAAGTACTATAAGAATCAGATCCGTAAACAAATTGTAAGTAATAACAAACTTCAAGGAATGTCCACGTTTCAATCCTCTTTTACCAGATTTGTCTTTCTCTTGCAAGACAAAATTCTCTAAGAAATTGAAATCTTCATCAGGAAATCTGGACTTAAATGCATCACAACATACTTCTCGGGTGTTCAAAAACATGCGTGAGACAATATCAGAAGTTCTATCTCTTAACTACAACAAGGGTAGATTTCAGCTTGCTGTTGCAATCCAATAATTCTTTCTCCTTTCTTTCAAGAACATCATTTTCTAACTTTGCATTTGAACATGATTGTTCAATCACTGATAATTTCTTCCTATGAAACTCCAATTCATTCATAGCTTCTGCCATCTGTTTCTCTAAATCCATTATTTCCTTTATGATTTTTCCCCTCTGACCAACAAATCTTTTTTTGTTTCTTTCCAAATCTTCAATGATCTTATCAGAGGCTAGCCATTGCCTTTTGATTTCCAAATAAGCCATAATTCTATGTGGAGCAAACATGTCAACAACAACAACAATAATATAAATTTTTTTTAATAAATTAAAAGTAAATCAAATTCATCAATTTTAAATCACAGAATTTACCTCTTCTGAAGTAAGTTCTTCAAGATCTTTTTTAGACATTGTTTTTCCCTATTAGGAGGGGCTGTAACTTGAACTTCCTCATTACACACCTTTTTACGCTTGGTTCGTCTGATCAGTGGCAGCTCTTCTATATCTTCATATTTATCTTCATTTTCAAATGTAGATGGTCCCATAGAAATAGCGCCCATCAATTTGGGTGTAGAAGTTGATGTTGAAGCTGTTAAATTTGCGGATTCAATGTCGATATCCAGTACAACTAGTGAAAAAAAAAAGTTACATGAGAATCAGTTAATAAACAAATGAAAAGTGATGATATAAAAAATTGTAATACCTCTTTTGAATTGAAGAATGGAGTATTTCTCCAACATATCGAAAACATCAAATGTTTGTTGATTTTGAACAAACTTCTCCAATGTCTGGATGCCAACTTCCTTCACATCTATTTTCCCGAGATTCTGGTGGGGTATTGCAGCTTTTGTCCATTGTGTGGGTAGTCCACCCCAACCTTTTTCGCAACCCAACGGAAAATATCTATCACTCCATCCTCGCACTTTATTTGATAATCCAATTAACAGTACTCGGCCTTTTCTACCCTCGATAAAATAAAATGGACTATTCGGCCTCTTTTTCAATGCATAGAAGTAGTTAAAAATATAAAACATGGGTAGAATATCGTGCATTAAACAAAGACTTTCAAAAATCAAAATTAATCTCAAAGCATTGGGATGGAGCTAAGTGGGTGCAACGTTATAACAAATCATGAATTCTTCCACAAACGAAGAGAAAGGAGGCACTAGACTACACTGGAGAAAAATTTCAAAAAAGGTGAAAAACCCAGGAGGGGTCTCCGAATTTATAAAAGATTAAAAACCATCGCATGGTAATAGATCAAAATCGTTGGCGATATTGTAATGTTTTCGAAATTGCAAAAGATCAGTACAGGTAACTATGCTAGGAATTTCTATGGGTAACATTGTCAGACAGAAAAATGAGATACAGATAAAACCCAGTAGGAAAGACTGAAATTACCCACAAATTGTTGGTTGATGCAAGTAAAAACAAAGTTGAACAATAATATGAGGCGATAAAAACGATCAATTTTGAAGTGCAACTGTGATTACAAAGTCAACGATAAAATTCCCTTAATCCCTAATTTGCTTTTAAAGACAATGAACATGTTAAACGATGACGTTTTAACCAACCGGAAGATGTCCAACTCCAAATATAATTACACCCGATAAAAATATAATTGGTTATGAACTTCATGGTTTCATTATTATTTTAAAAAAAATATAAAGATTTCAAAATATAAAGACATATCAAACTATTAATTTCCTAATGATTTATTTTGTTACATTTAATTTGCTCATTAATGTATTGCTCTTAATAAACTGCAAGTGAGACGAATCTGATCCTATAAATAAATTATGAGGTATAATACGAGGCATTTATAAATACATATATAAATAGTTATGTGAATTTCAATAGACTCATACATTGTAAATGTTAAAGAATATCGTGTTTGATTGGTTATTTAAATTAATAACATTCCTATATATATATAGTTGGATGAAACGATTGCTCCTTATAGTTCCAATGTGATTCCTATTAAAGGTAATGAATATATTCTTTTTGTGAACTCTTTTTTTACAATTGTTAAATTGAATATTGATTGTAATATCAGATTCATATAACTCAAGTTTTTTATACAAGTGAATTTGAAGATTCTAATTTGTGAAAATATTTATATAAATTCTTGGAAAACCAGTAAAGAACTAACTCAAAACTTCATGGTTAATCATAATTTTTCATTAGAATTGTAATCAATTAAGATTTCCACGAGGTCAAAATTCAATTGATGAACCATTTATTTGTATATAATTCGCCTGTAAAATTGTGATCAATTAAGAAGAATACCATAATATAAGTATGATTGTAATAAATGCAGGTATGTTTTTCGTTTTAATGTTAGAGTCGATCATATTCTCAATTGTCAAACCAATAAATGGATGATATACTTTTGATAAACCATTGCCGAACCAACAACTTATTCATATTTATGATCATAAATGTTTCCTTCGTTTGGAAATCTCTATGTTGCCGAACTATTTTAATGTGCTGCTGTAACAGATGAAGCTCTGTTTTGGTTCAAATCTTGCTGCAAGATCATAATATTCTATGCTATAAAGTTTTAATAAAATATTTGTCCATCCACAAATTTACATAAAAAACTGTAGTAAATCAGTTGTTATCAATTTTTGCATACAATTATAAAAATCTGGACTCGGCAGAGGTGAAAAAAGGAATGCAATTAACACAATATATTTTTTGTTTTGGTCAAGTGTAAGATTATAAAATGGTTCATACGGATGAAGACATTGCAACTATATAGTCATACATTCAGGAATTATATTTGCGAGTGATTGAAAACTATAGATTGGCATATGATTCTGGACAAATAAGTATCGTTGATTTCAGAACAAAAGTATGCAAGGAGAATAGAAAATTGAGAATGTTTATATGGAACAAAAAAAAAGGCCTAGATTTCCAAAGTGAGTCAGAAAGTCAATCTCCAAAAAGAAAAAAGGTATATTTAATATTAGAACTTCATATAATTATTATGTAAAGACTAAACGAGTTTAGTGTATATCTTTGTTCTTTTAGTTTTTCATGAACTATATATTGCTGTTTTGGCGTATGAATTTCACAGCAAAATGATTCATAATAAAGTATCCAACAAAAGTAACTACCTTATTTATTTTGGTATAGTCATACAAATATTTCGTATATTACATGGTTCAATAAATCAGTTTCTATTTTCTTTAATTATATAATTTGTTGTGTAACATAGTCTCAATCATAAAACTTGTGTATCGAAGACAAAGAAAGATCCAATAATTTCTTTAAATGCTTCTATAAATATAACTGAGATATTTAATTACTGTTTTTGCCTTTTGGTTAAGCATTTCAATTATATAATTTGCTACATGGTATAGTGTTAATTATGTTATTATTATTTTTAAATTCAGATGAGAGATCTAAAGAACATAAAAAATGTGTATCAAACGCAGAGAAGTGTTCTACAAGTTCTTCATATGCTTCTGTAAATGTAAATGAGATGCGTGAGGAAAATAGTACAGAGAGAATGTCTGTATTAAAAAGGAAGAGAGGTCAAAAATATTATATTAGTGGTTACCTATATTTTTTTAGATTATGATAACTTAAATTGACTAACTAAATCTATGTTTTTCAGGTGCTTCTCCCCGTACAGAGCTTGACTCTAATATTCCAATTACTAATGCAGAACAATACAATCGTGAGGCTTGAATCTGACAACATATGTTTAAGCATTCAGATTGTTATATCTTAAAAACATAATGTTATTTCATTATTTTGTAAAAATAAAGGGGCAGAACTTTGTCGAACAATTTTGTCATTCCAAGTGTTGTTGAAAATTGTCATGATCTTTTTTTATTATTTTCATTCTCAGGTCAGACATTGAAAAAAAAAAAAGAAATCTTTATCAAAGGCAAATAGAGGTTCAAAATCTCGCTCGACAGAAAGAGGTAACAAGTGCCACATTGTTAGGTAAACATATTTAAATGTTAACTCAAGTATTAATCTTAGTAAAAAAAAAAATGTCATTCTGAGTTTCTAAATTAACAGAACATGTCAATTACTTTCTAAAAATAACACGTTATTTCTTTGCACAGTGGAAAAAGAGTCCTTGAACTTTGGTGAACCATCCTACAAGTGCATTCATTATGGATTAGTCATGTGGTATGAAGAGCGAACTGTTAAGAACCAAGAGCCAGCCATCCCTTTGTTTTCATTATGTTGTATGGATGGCAAAGTTTAGTTGCTGTTATTGAAAGAACCGCCAAAACCATTAAAAAGTCTATTGGATGTGTCCAGTGGTAACACAGGGATTAGTTTCAGGAGTAAATTAAGAATATACAATTCATTGTTTTCATTTACATCAATGGGAGGGCATGTTGACCATAAGATTAACCAAGGGGGTGGTCCTTACGTTTTCAAACTCTGTAGACAGAATTACCACCGAATAGGATTGTTACTTCCACCTGAAGGAAGGAAACCCCAGTTTACACAGCTTTATATTTATGACATAGAGGATGAAACCAGTCATAAATTAAATTCTGTACGAGGTAATACAGCCGATGCTACTGTTGACAGGGAATTAGTACATGAATTGCAATTGATGTTTGATGCGAATAGTGAATTGGTTAAAAGTTTTCGTTCTATCAGGAACCATATCCATTGGAATGATATTAGAGATGTGCATTTGCAGTTAAAAATGAAAAGGGAAAAGGATGGAAGACAATACAATTTGCCAACTGCATCTGAAATTGCGGGTTTAATTGTCAGTGATATTGGAATTTCAGAAATTGGAAAAGATGTCATTGTTCATCATTCGAAAAAGGGTCTTCAAAGAATTGCTGACTTGCATCCAAGCTTTATGGCATTAAGTTTTCCAATATTATTTATGTATGGAGAAGATGGATACGGAATCGACATTAACCATAAAGACTTTCCTGACAAAAAGTCTTCAAAGAGAAACATGCTAAGCATGAGAGAATATTATGCATTTCGATTGCAGTATAGATTATGTGAAAGGCATACTCTGTTGAAATCAAGTGGATTATTGTAGCAATATATTGTGGATGCATATATGGCTGTTGAAGAGGAAAGATTTTGTTGGATTAGAAACAATTAGAAAAAATTGAGGAGTGATTTGTACAGTGGGTTGATGGATGCTATTTCAAAGGATGATGTTAATGCACAGTATCTAGGGAAATCTACGTTGCTCCCTTCGTCTTACACTGGCGGTCCCCGATATCGTGTTCAGAATTATCAAGATGCAATGGCGATTTGCAGATGTTATAGATATCCAGATATTTTTCTGACGTTCACCTATAATCTCAAGTGGCTGGAGATACAATATCTATAGAATTGTATTGGACAATGTGATCAAGAAAGTAGAATAACTGTAGTTTGCAGAGTTTTTGAGATCAAAATGCTTGAGCTCATGCGAGATATAAAAAAAGGTGAATATTTTGGTGAAATAGTGGCAAGAAAGTATTCCAACGAATAATATTTCTACTTTTTTTTATAAATTGTAGTACATTATAATTTATGATATGAAATTATATTATACCAACTATTGTTGAACACGTTATAATTGTTTCTGTTAGTTATCTAAACTATCGAGTTCCAAAAGAGAGGCCTCCCACATGCTCATATATTGGTTTTTCTACATTCCCAATATAAGAATCAATTGGCATCCAAAATAGATGAAATAGTTTCTGCTGAAATTGTTAGAGTAGATGCCCTAGAGCCAATCAATTATTGTAGAATTGACTCTTTGTAATAATGTTCATTAATCAATAAAAGGCATTTTATTCTACATCGCATAAATCATTATTATTGTAATATGTATTGATATATGTCCTTAGAATGGTAGAACCGTGACAAGGGTATCAAGTGTTTCAAATCTTGATAGTGAGAACCCTATGAGCACATATGGTGGCCATTCTAGAAACGTTTGTAGCCCTAGTATTATTCTTCCAGGTAGTGGTGAATTATTTTGCGAATGCTTCTGACTTATAAGAGGAGCAACATCATTTGAAGATATTCAAATTGTCAACGAGAATATTCTCTACATTCAAATGTGCATGTTATGCATTAGGATTGCTTGATGATGATAAAGAGTGGAATGATTGCTTGGATAAGCTCAACGTGGCTACTTGAAGACAGTTAAGATAGCTCTTTATAACTATTCTTGTATATAATGAAGTGGTGATTCCAGGAGACTTGTGGAGAACAAATGCAGACGCCTATCTGAAGACATTCCCTACATTCTTAAACAAAAAACGGCGGATGACAGAATTAAGATGCACTAAGACACAAATTCAATCATGCATTGTTCGAGATTGATGAGCTCATGAAAAAGAGGAGAAAATCCTTGGCTGATTTCCCTGGAATGCGAATTTCGGACTATTCCATTTTTTAGAATTCACAGAATGATTAATTGCTAAAGAATTAGATTATGATATCGACAACATGAAAACAGTGCACAGTGATTAACACGGGTCTCAACATGGCCAGAGACGTGTTACGATTTAATCCTTGATTCATCACAATCAAAGTGGAACACCATTTTTTGTTTACGAACATGGTGGAACAGGCAAAACCTTCTGATGGTATACAATCATGGCCAATTAAGATCTGAGGGTAAAATTGTACTCGCTGGTAGCTACATCGAATTGTTGCATTGTTGTTATCTGGTGGAAGAAGATCACATTCACGTTTTTGAATTCATTTAGATATCGCTAAGGATGTACATGTGATATAAAAAAGGAGACACAATTGGCAAAACTACTTCGCAAACACTTTGATAATTTGGGATAAAGCACCCCTGGCAACAGGTATTGCTTTGAAGCTCTTGACAAACTCTAAAAGATATTTTGTCTGAAAAGATCAATCAAAGCAAATAGAATATTTGGGAGGCCTCACCGTTGCCCTGGGTGTGATTTTGGACAGATTCTACACAGTTATACCAAAAGGGAAAAAACATGACATAATACATGCCTGTTTATCTCATCTTCCTTTTGGAACATGTAACAGTGTTGACACTTACGAGAACATGAGGTTGAAGACAAACTTGGTGACCCAACGAATTGGATAACTTGAAGGTTTTGACAAATGGTTACTTAATATGGGAAAGACGACATTGCAGAAGATGAAATTTACATCCAAATACCTAAAGACTTGAAATCGATCAACATACCAGTCATAAGACCGATTATGAATGTTGTTTTCTAAATTTAGCTGCTCAAATAATATTGTTGATTATATGTGAGAGAGAGAGAAGAGAGAGAGTTGTTGTGTGTGTGTGTGTTGTGTGTGTGTGTGTGTGAGCATATTGACACCCAAAAATGAGACAGTACATAGATTGAACGACTATATCATCCAGAGTCTGCCAACAGATGGAAAAACATATTTCAGCTCGGACATCACTTGCAAGCAGTAGGTATCTCAAACAATGATGACATTCTCTATCCCACAAATTTCTTAATTCTCTGATGTGCTCTGGCTGCCCAAACATGAATTGCATCTGAATTGGCATTTCAATTATGTTACTGTGTATTTGAATCATCCAATAGTCATTGCAATGGAACCAGTTGATCATAGCCTATTTAGGAAGTGGTCCATACAACAATGATTATCATTGGTTAAACATTGGGGATTTTGTCGTAACGCCCCACTTGAGGTACGTATTTGTTGTTTCTTCCTTTGCCTCTTTTTGAGTTGTTTTTTTGGTAATATTGTTTGATGATGTTGTTGTTTAATGCTTGCCCTGAATTGGTAGAAAATGAGAAGTTTTAGTGTTTCAGTCTTCGCCGGGGCGAAGAAGAATCTTCGTCACGGCGAAGAGGTGTTGAAGCCATGGGAAGCTGCTGGACAGTTTCGCCGCGGCGCAGAAGTTTCTTCGCCGCGACAGGCCGAGTAAAATGTTTGTTAAGTTTTAGATATTTCTTCCCTAAGGGCTATTTGACCACTCTACCCCTAATTACAGGAAAAGTGGGGAGTTAAGTGTAGGATTTTTCATGGAGAATATGGTATATGGGGGTGAGTTTATAATGAATCAAAGGATATAGATGGATTCCCAAAGAAGTGTAAGGCAAATGGGAATGCTTTGGTATAAATTTCATTAAGGATTAAGAGTTAGCAAACCCTTCATTCTTCTTCTAAAAAACGCAACTCTCCATTCTTGTTCATCTCAACTCCTCTTTTCTTTTGATCAGAGTTTCAAAGGATTTTTGAAGTGATTTGGGAGTAGAAAAGCAACCTAAGACTTCCTAAGGTAAGGATTTCTACTTAAGTTTGTGATTTTTGAGTTTAGTTTATATTGAAGTTTAGGGTTTTTGTCCTTTTGGTTAAGAGTAGAGAAAAGTCAAGCAAAGCAGTGAAAGAAGAGTTGGTGAAGTCTCTCCATAACAAGTAAGTAAATCCCAACCCAAGTTGAGATTTAAGAATTTTCTTGATTAGGTTTTGGTAGAATATGTATGTATGTGATATACTGGATATGCCATGTATGGAAGTTAAATAGACTTCTATGCTTGTGAATGTTAATACCTTGCAAATATGAGAAAGGTTGTTAGGTTGGAAAGGTAGTTTGAGATGAATTGAAGGGGTGTATGGATCCCCTTTTGGAAGTGCTTTCTTTGACAGGTTTTTATGGTATGTGAAGGTTTTTTTCCCCATTTTGGATGGTTAGAAAGATTTAGATCATTGCTATAGTAAGTTTTATAGTGCACTTGAGTTGTTTGAGGAAATGCCTAATAGAGGTTTGAGTATGAGTAATGAACCTTAATTCTTGCAACATTGCATGTTGGCATTTCATATGCATTGGTAGTGATGAACCATCCATAGGCACTAATTGTGCCTTGAAAAGTGACCTAAGAAGTGTAAAAAATTGTGTATGCAATTACCCTATGAGTAGAGAGCTTGGTGGGTACAAACTACCTTAGGTAGATAGAATTGAAAGATGTAGAATAGAGTGATTAGAAGAGTAGTATAGTTGGGTTGATGCTTTGTGATCATCATCCGCCAGTTTGGGAATCGGGTTGATGTTTTGTGATCACCACCCGAATAGCCCTTAGAGATGGGTCGTGCTTTGTGATAGTCACCCGATGAGTAGTGAAATGGTAGATGCTTTGTGACCACACCCGGTTTAGTTGTTAGATAAATGGGTTGATGCTTGTGATCATCATCCAACATTTAGTAGAAGTGGTTGATGCTTTGTGACCATCACCCGTATAGGACTAGAGACGGTTATTGCTTGTGATCGTACCCAAAATTCATGGGAACGGGTAGGTGCTAGGTGATCTCCACCCGATAGTTAAGAAAACCGAGTAGGTACTTGTGATCCTCACTCGGTAGTCACTAAGAACGGGTTGGTACGTGTGAATTCCACCCGATAGTCATGGAGAGTGAGATGGTGCTGTGTGAACGCCATCCGCGGTACCTCGGTAAGATAAGGCCATGATGTTAAGAAACGAAAAGAAGACAAAATAGCATAAGGAAAGAATTAGAGTTGTACATACGGGACAGACAGATAGAGGGTTTTACTTACTGCACTTATTTTGTGCTCACTCCGTATTTTCCTTGTGATGCAGATCTAGGTGATGAGCAGTCGGGGGCATCGGCAAGCGAAGAGAATAGCTACACTGTTTCCCCTTTTTCTTTTTAAATGAATTTTTGTAAACAGTACTCTTTGTGTTAAAGACATAGATTATAATGAAAAGAAAATTTGGGGCCCAATTGTTATATTGTTATTTAGCATCATTGTACTAGTTTTCAGCAGTTGTTACATTGTCACAATCCCAGAATAATATGTCAATGTAGATATGAAGTGGCCTTTCAGGTTGAAGAGAAACAGTTACCTGTGACATAACTTCTGTAT